GGTGTTCCCTTTAAAATAAAAAAGTTTTTTATGTTTAAAAAATTTCATTTTTAAAAATAATTTGTACAACAAATAATGAATAACTAAATATTCTCAAGAAGTACATCCCATCTACTACCTCTGGTTAAAATTTTAAGTATCTGATAGATATAGTACCTGAGATAGACGACTTTAAGAAAATGTCTACCGGCGACTAAAAATGTAGAAAAAAATTGAATAACGCCAAATCCGCTATAACTAGAATAGGCAAATGGGGTATCGTTGTTTACAGAATTCCATGCTGAATCTAAAATTAAAAAAAAATATGGGGTATTCCCTTTAAAATAACGAAGTTAGTGGTCACTTCCGGTATAACCGGAAGTTGCCCAGAGTTCATTTTATTTTAATTCAAAAGAGCATATTCGATTATGTATACCTACTCAGAAAATGGCGAAAATACAAATTAATTTATTCTCCATAACGTTGTAATGCCCGCCTTACGTGGGACACGGTGTATATTTCACTTTAAGTGGATAATTGGGACCTGTCCATACACCAAAAATACATCTTTTTTGTCCTGTAATATGTAATTGGCCTTATATTTGATAATACCCATTGATGGTGGATATTAATGTCAAAATTATTGGTGTCTTTATTAAATCCAAAAGGGTTTTTTCAATTTAATCACCTCTTCTACCTGCATTTGATATGCAGCGTATGGACATTTTATTTCAACTACTAATTCATCTCTTACAATGCTGTCTGGAGTAGGATCTACAAATTTAAAAATTATTATTTTGGTTTAAAATGAACTAATTTGCAATATGTTATAGTTGAGATGTGAGTAAAAATGTGAACTGATCGTTACGTACCTAAATATGGATTTTTTTGTCAATAAAAATTCCACAATCTCTAATCACTATATTTTCCTGCTCTTGAAGCTGCAAAAGCGCCGTTTTTTTATACTTTTGGCCATGAGAAATAGCAGCATTGACTGGTAGTTGGTAAATAATCCTTTTGACTAAAGGCTCACATAAAGTAGTAATTCGTCTAGGACATACTGCTTTAAAGTGTGAGGCCGTAATCATTTTTCTACGATTTTCAAGCCAAACCCTGCTATGCGCCTGTGACGCTTAAATTACATTTCTCTTAACGTCAGATGAAGGGAATTCGTTTAAAAATTAAAGTTTTTTTACTTCATAAATAACTTGATCTAAATCCTTTTTGGTACAATTTTCTCCATAATCTAAATCAGTTTTATTGGTTTTTGCAGAATAACTTTTTTAATTTGCGATTAGATTTTGATATTATTGCTAATTGTCGTCTTTTTTTTTTCAATTCAGTTACTAACATGGATTGGTTAGTACGGTTTATAGTTTTTAACAATTCTGAATTCCCTGATTTCGAATTATATGACACAACTGCTGCAAAATATCTACTTTGGTAAGAGCGCCCTCTGGAATAATTTATTCTTTTGATACCTACAAACTTAGCGACTGTCGCATGAAATTGTTCCACAATATTACTATCAACATCATGTAATAGACTTCTGCTGTGATCTGACAAAGCATGTATAATTTGTAGAAGTCTTGTAAAAAATTCAGGTTTAGATCTGAAATTGGTTATTTCGTTTTTGGTTTCATCTGTATGCTTCTGACAAAAATAAATATCGCAGTTTTTATGATCACCAAAAACGTGAAAACTTGCATTGTCTATGTCTTTCTTTAAATGCAAAACGTTATTAATAGTGGTAAGACTATTTTCTTTTCTATAAGAAACTGCCTTCGTAACAGATGTTCTTAAACGAAGAATGTTTTGACTAACTAATTTTCTTAGTTTTATTGGAAAATTCACAAATAAATTTCTCTTTTAGGCTCAAAATTTTACTAAATACGTTCAAATCTTCAATTTACCGGTATAACTAAATAAATCACCGATCCATTTCCTATGATAGAGGAAATGTGGCTCGACGGCCCGTTCTTGGAATTTTGAAGGCAGGGGTATAATAGGAGTAATATGCCGACAAATTAGTTCTCATGAACGGAGCAATAACTCTTAACAAGAACACCAATGTACGAAAGTTAATTAAAACGTCAAAATCGGCTTCTTAGCAACGTCAAATATTTATCATTTGTTTTACAAAGCCTGCCTTGATTTTATTGAAGCCGATAAACCAACTTAAGTGTGAGTTTGTGCGAGTTATATATATACAGGGTGTCTGTAAAAGGTCTTTACAAAAACATACCACATATTCCTTAGACCAAAATAAGTCGATTTAAGTAAAATTATCTTAGTACACAGTTGCTTCGTTTGGGCTCCAGAGTTACAACTTTTAAATCGTTTTTCCCATATAAATTTGAAACGGCATATGCGATTTTGCTGAAGTTTGGTATATTGGTAGTTTTATGTGGGAAAAAAATGGTATTAAAATTTTGTCCGATAATAATACAAAAATTGTTCAAAATATTCACCATTTTCACGCATACAAAGATTTATACGTCAAAGAAAATTAAAATGTATCCTTTCCATAACTTCTTCATCGCCTCTAAGATTGTTTATTGCATCTTGAATACGTTGCCAAAGTTGTTCCTTATTTTCTACAGGTTCCCTGTAAAATGTGGATTTCAGATGTCCCCATAAAAAGTAATCCATCGGTGTTAGGTCTGGGGAACGTGGTGGCCAGTTTACAGGTGCGTCATTACCTCTGCCTATCCATTTGTATGGATATTGTTCATTCAAGTGGTTTCTAACGTTTAAGAAAAATGTGGTGGAGCTCCATTTTGCATAAACCACATATCTCTCCGAAGTTGGAGAGGAAAATCTTCTAACAATTCTGGCAACGTATTTTGTAGAAAATCCAAATAATTTTCTCCAGTTAATCTTCGTGGAAGTATGACAGGACCAACAATGAAATTACCAATTATTCCAGCCCACACATTAATTTTGAATTCGTGCTGAAAATGGTTTACCTTTCTTGCATGCAGATTTTCAACGGCATAAGCATGTTCATTATGGGTATTAGTTATACCTCTTCTTGTAAAACTCGCTTCATCGGTAAAGAGAACCTTCTTGACAAAGTTTGGATCTCTTTCTCTTTGCATATTAACAAATCGACAAAAACCCAAACGAATTTGAGGATCATGGACAATTCTTGTACTGGCTTCTTATGGTATGGATATAGCAATTGTTCTCTAAGCACTTTATGGACGACATCTTTGCTTACTCCTAGTTCCCTTCCAATTCGTCTGGTGCTTAATTCTGGATCTTCTTCAACACATTCTAAAATGTCTTCTTCAACTTCAGGAATCCTTACAAAACGTTATCTTCCATTATCAACAGTGTTGGTAGCAAAGGAACCGGTCTCCCGAAGACGTGTCTCAACAGCAGCAAAAGTTGGGTGGCTAGGTACACGACGATTTGGAAACCTTTCAGAGTACACCCTGACACTCTTTCGAGCGTTTCCTTCACAAAATCCTAATGTCAGTAACATATCGGTATATTCTGCATTGGTATATTGTACAGCCATATTAATAAACCACGCATTTGTTTTTTTAATTATTGAGTCAGATAGAACACTTTCAATCGTTAACAAGAGATTAGGTGTTAAAACTTGACAATATTATTATTTAGATGAAACTATGGAAACCAACAATAAATGTTTTTGTATACGTATTGCAGGCAAATAATTAATATTCCTCAAAAAAACGTACATGGCAAGAATCGAGTATTTTTGTTAAAAGTCTCGATTAGAGGTGTTGAAGAAGATATGAAAAAAGTACATTTTTATGTTTTTCATCGTATAAAATTTTGTCCGATAATAATACATAGGCGTAGAACTTGATTTTTTAAATAATTACACCTTTAAAAATTCTACGCCAATGCAAAAAAGGGGTTTGAGTATGAAATTTGGATTGGGTACTCATTTACTACAAAAAAGTACCCTTGATAACACTCGATTTACTCTCATGGTTTTAACAAAGTTTGTATTTTAATAATTATTGTTTATGTTCTAAAATTACTAAAATGCAAATTTAGTCAAAACCATGAGAGTAATCGAGTCTCATCAAGAGTACCTTTTTTAAAGTAAATGAGTTGCGCAATCTAAATTTCATACTTAAGCTCCTTTTCTTCCATTGGCGTAGAATTTTTAAAGGTGCAATTATTTAAAAAATCAAGTTTTACGCCTATGTATTATTATCGGACAAAATTTTAATACCATTTTTTTTCCACATAAAACACTACCAATATACCAAATTTCAGTAAAATCGCATATGCCGTTTTAAATTTATATGGGAAAAACGATTTAAAAATTGTAAATTCAAGGCCCTCTGGAGCCCAAACGAAGCAACTTTGTACAAGGGTAATTTTACTTAAATCGACTTATTTTGGTCTAAGGAATATGTGGTATGTTTTTGTAAAGACCTTTTACAGACACCCTGTATATGACTCAGAAAGTAACCACTATTTTAACCCACCCCCCTGAGCATAAAACTGAACAATATCAGCAGTAGCACATTATTTATTTCCTTTCGGGCATAACATCAACTTTAGTCTAAGCTGACTGATTAATTGGTTTGGTAAACGTAATAGTAGAAGAAAAACGTTTTAGTAGAAGAAGGTTTTGGTAAATTTGTAAGAGAATATATAAATTTTGCAATACCCCACTAATTTGTTTAATAATTAATATTGAATATTTCTCCTTTTGTCGGTATTCAAAAAACTATTAAAAATATATTGTACAGGGTAAACGTCTAATTTGATCGGCCTATAAAATTTCTTTACAACATTAGTCACTATCTACAACACTGATATTCTACTATAAGTACCTGAATTAATATTGTTTTTTTCTTTTTGTTTTCAGTTTTAATAGTTTTTGGTCCCGCCGACTAAGCAAGGGTGACAGCAGCCCACCTTGGATTTTCGGCGGGGAAATATCATCACTACCATCTTCAACCATTCCAAAGCATCAAATTTTCAATCCGTCCCAATCTAATTACTTCCAGAATATAATTGAAAACAATATGGAAAACGATTTGCGTGAGATCCTTCGCGAAAAAGCTGATAAACACCGTGAGTACTACAGTTCCATCGTAGGTAGCGATAATACCGACGTTAACTCGGGTATTGAACAAGAGATGGCGCGGCAGGTACTAGACTCTTCTGATGAGAATTACACGCCTAATTCATCAACAACACGCAATATGATATTAGAAGTATTAGAAATGAATGACGATGGTATTTTGTTACCGAATTCAGGTAATATTGGGTCTGTGGATAAAAAAACGCGCACCAGACGTCGGGGTGTGTACGAAATTGGAGGCACGATTTCGGAATTGGCAGAATTTAAAAGTGTTAAAGTGTTAAGGGAAAATTATTTAGCTATGTTAGAAAAAACTTCTAATCAGCTTAATGAAAAATCCAATCAGGGTGATAAACCGTTAGGTAGTTCGGAAACGTCTGAAAATTTAGTGAAAAATTCGGAGAGTTTAGAAAAAGTGGTGGAAAAATTAGAAATGTTAACGAAAACAGGTGAATTGTTGGTACCGCCATCTAGCGGGTATGGTTCGGGTAATAGTGACGACGAAACAGACAAAAATTGGAGTAATCCAGAAAGGAGGAGTGGTAATTCTGATTCAGCTGTTCATAGTGATGATGAAGGACCAATAACATCGAATTGGGGAGAGAAGAAAGAACAGATTTCCAATGAAGGTGAGTTTACATAATGAATATAAAACTTTACTAATTATGATTATAGCAAAATAACTGCTATATGAAACATATTGCAATATCAAGTCTCATGTCACTGGAGGGGATTTTACTGCATTTAAAACTAGTATAGCAAACCAACCATTATTATTGGGACATTATCTAGTTTGAATTCTTTCGCTTATGCAAATTAGTAATAACGACATAACTAATTTTTTTTAAATAAAAATATTTCACTAATTGTCTCAAATCAAAGCTCACGGATGGTACTTTTACTTCTTACATTGTTGCCAAGTCGCACAAAAAGGTTGTAAGGGGTTTTCTTGCCACAGAGAAAACGTTTCCTTACGAATAGCGCTGATTACGGGCGGCTCTCGGGCGCCAGATTATTTATTGTGGTTTATACCACAAACTCTCGAAGCGGCCTCGAAAGTACTCGGGTAGCTACAGATGGAGATGAAAAATTCCAGCGATCAAAGATTACGTAAACCCAGGTAATCGGTAGTCACAAATGACGGGCTTTAATTGTCGCTTACGCTTATAAAGAATATTTAACTAGCTGAAAATTAAGGGGGAAGTAGAGCAAGGTGTTAGAACTTCTTTAGTGATACGGCCAGATAACAATGACACATATATTGTGAATAACTATTTACAATATAAAAACAAAAATAAATATACATATATATTTCAATGCCCACCCTCGTTGCAATAATAGTTAATATGAACCCTGAACAAAAAAAAACGGACGGTATTGAAACCCGACTAGTTTCAATCAGACGTCAAAATTGAATTAAAATAAATGGTAGAATCGACCGCGCAAAAAAATAACTAGTGAACCGTCTATTCGGTTGTTGAGCTCAAATAAAAGGAACGCAGGGCGGTTTTGTTAGGGAAAATGAGTGCTTCGGTCGCAGGAAAAATCAACTTGACTACTTTGTCGGTAATTAAACTGAAACATAATTTTCCATTTCGGTAAGGAAAATTTCTAAGAGCGGTCGTAGCAAAAATTAACTATTTAATTGTCGTAGTGGGAATTAAACTAAAATGTACTTTAATATTTTGGCAAGGACAAATTTTCTATACAGTCGCAGAAAGTGTGAGGAGACAGGATCGTGAAAGAACTACTTGAACTAAATATTCGGGGAAAAAAATTTATACCTGGGGTTGCCTATTATCCCAGAATGAGCTGATCGTCATCACGAGCCCGCTTAGACAGGGTAATGAAGCTATTTAAGATTTCCTAAACTTGCGATTCGCACGTAAAAATAAAGAATACAAGGGGAAAAAGAAAAACTAACGCGATTAGTACCTAATCCAAGAACGAGCTGATTGTCACTACGAGCTCGCTCAGACAGGGACAGCAGAACACTATTTAAGATTATTTAAATTTGCAATTTGCACGTAAATATAAAAAAAATCTAACGCGGATAGTTCCTAATCCAAGAATGAGCTGATCGTCATCACGAGCCCGCTCAGACAGGGGCAGGATACCATTTAAGATTATTTAAATTTGCGGTAGAAGAGGAAACAAAACTATTTAAAGAGGAAAAACGTCTAATGGAAAACTCCGCTTTTAAATATTTCCAACTTATCTATAACGCGGCACTTACTAAACAAAAGTATTTATCAATAAAATCAAATTTAACTCCCGATTTAACCTACCAAAAAAAAATACGGGTGGCACTCGGGTACTGCCGCAGTAAAGCTATTGCATAGCATTTTTTATCAATTTATGCAATTATAATTATTTATTTTATTTATGCAGTATTTTTTTCTTTAATATTATTTCAAGTTTTTTCTTTGATATTAATTCAAGTTACACTTTTTGTGCGTGGTGACCGATAAGAAAACAATTTTTTTCTTTTATTGAATAAATGAGAAGTTAATATTGTTTAAAATATTTTTATTATCTTACAATACATGTAGGTTATTCAGGAATTGTTATCATTAAAACTTCGATTTTTCGAATTTTCGATTTTTCGATTTTTCGATTTTTCGATTTTTCGATTTTTCGATTTTTCGATTTTTCGACTTTTAGATTTTTCGATTTTTCGATTTTTCGATTTTTCGATTTTTCGATTTTTCGATTTTTCGATTTTTCGATTTTTCGATTTTTCGATTTTTCGATTTTTCGATTTTTCGATTTTTCGATTTTTCGATTTTTCGATTTTTCGGTTTTTCGATTTTTCGATTTTTCGATTTTTCGATTTTTCGATTTTTCGATTTTTCGATTTTTCGATTTTTCGATTTTTCGATTTTTCGATTTTTCGATTTTTCGATTTTTCGATTTTTCGATTTTTCGATTTTTCGATTTTTCGATTTTTCGATTTTTTCGATTTTTCGATTTTTCGATTTTTCGATTTTTCGATTTTTCGATTTTTCGATTTTTCGATTTTTCGATTTTTCGATTTTTCGATTTTTCGATTTTTCGATTTTTCGATTTTTCGATTTTTCGATTTTTCGATTTTTCGATTTTTCGATTTTTCGATTTTTCGATTTTTCGATTTTTCGATTTTTCGATTTTTCGATTTTTCGATTTTTTGATTTTTCGATTTTTCGATTTTTCGATTTTTCGATTTTTCGATTTTTCGATTTTTCGATTTTTCGATTTTTCGATTTTTCGATTTTTCGATTTTTCGATTTTTCGATTTTTCGATTTTTCGATTTTTCGATTTTTCGATTTTTCGATTTTTCGATTTTTCGATTTTTCGATTTTTCGATTTTTCGATTTTTCGATTTTTCGATTTTTCGATTTTTCGATTTTTCGATTTTTCGATTTTTCGATTTTTCGATTTTTCGATTTTTCGATTTTTCGATTTTTCGATTTTTCGATTTTTCGATTTTTCGATTTTTCGATTTTTCGATTTTTCGATTTTTCGATTTTTCGATTTTTCGATTTTTCGATTTTTCGATTTTTCGATTTTTCGATTTTTCGATTTTTCGATTTTTCGATTTTTCGATTTTTCGATTTTTCGATTTTTCGATTTTTCGATTTTTCGATTTTTCGATTTTTCGATTTTTCGATTTTTCGATTTTTCGATTTTTCGATTTTTCGATTTTTCGATTTTTCGATTTTTCGATTTTTCGATTTTTCGATTTTTCGATTTTTCGATTTTTCGATTTTTCGATTTTTCGATTTTTTGATTTTTTGATTTTTCGATTTTTCGATTTTTCGATTTTTCGATTTTTCGATTTTTCGATTTTTCGATTTTTCGATTTTTCGATTTTTCGATTTTTTCATTTTTCGATTTTTCGATTTTTCGATTTTTCGATTTTTCGATTTTTCGATTTTTCGATTTTTCGATTTTTCGATTTTTCGATTTTTCGATTTTTCGATTTTTCGATTTTTCGATTTTTCGATTTTTCGATTTTTCGATAAAAGTTATGCAATAGCTTAAAAATTAATATCTAATATTTACGCCAACCGGGAACATTTGTGATACTAATTTATTAGAAGCCAGAGAAAGCTCTTCTAGTTCTTCTATTGCATAAATGTTCCAGTCCGCAGACGTATATTTAACACCGCTTCATACTAATTCGAATAAGGTCTGATAAAACCTTTCATGGCTATAACGCCGTACCGCTGTGCCGGTCGGAGTGGGGGGTGTTAGGTTTATTTTCGTTACGGTGTTACGAAATTTCTTGATTCGGTCGCTGCTCAAAGCCCGCGATAAAAGCTATGCAGTAGCTTAACAGGAAAACAGTAACAAAGCCTACACAAAACACATAAAATCATAAACTGAGAGATATTGTGAATATATGAGCCATAGAACATAAAAAAACACTGATTAATATAATAAAAATTTATTATCAATTATACAGAACAAAGTTTTCTTGGTTACAAAATAAAATTAATTTTATAAATTGCTGCCATCTTATAAATAGGATCACATGATATTTTTTGTCAAAATGGACATTCTAATTTCATAGCAATATCCTACATTACATTCAATTAACAATATAAACTATATGTATCTGTAAGGTGGGGTAGGTGGATACTTCCACAGCATTTAGGCCTATTGTGCATCCTCCAGGGGTATATAAAACCTGCTTCTGAGAGATGTCTAGAGACAGCTGCATCTTCTCAACTAATCAAAGTCCTGCAGGTTAACTCAAAAAAAAACCTACTGGTTGACGCTGAGGGGTGTCTACAGACTACAGACATCCATCTTCTCAGATCATCAAGGTCCTGTAGGTTATTAACATCGCCGAGAAGTGTCTCTAGTTGCCCCATTTTTTTGAAGTGGCCATTTTGTGGGCTTGTACTAGCCCAATGGTAAATGCCCGGGTTAATTATAACTATAAAATGTACATTTAAATCTGTAAAAATTTTAATGATAAGAAAACACTATACGCAGCTGGAGCTGGGCAGTACAAGTATACTCTAAATTATACTCAAGTACCCAAAGTAACTCAAAATTGTAATTAAGTACTCAAAGTTTTCAGTAATAGGTACTTCTGGGTCCCATCAGGATAAAGGTACCTGATGGGACTCGGTACTTGAAAAATTTTGAGTACCTTATATTTTAGAGTACTCAGTACTTCTGATTCTTACAACCGACGAGTAACGAGTACGAGTATCTTCGCGCCCAGGCCCA